GCTGGGAGCGGTAACGGGGCTGGGGCTGGGACCGGACAGTGCCGCCGCTGGGAGCGGTAACGGGGCTGGGGCTGGGACCGGACAGTGCCGCTGCTGGGAGCGGTAACGGGGCTCGGTGCTCCCCACAAGGCCCGGGCACCCTCCGGAACAGCCCCCGGGGCCCCATCCCCGGCTGGGCTCTGGGGCTCAGGGGAGCGGACGGGGCGGGTCCGTGCCGGGCTGGACGGGCTCTCCCGATGCCGCAGGGAGCAGGCCCGGCTGAAGGACAGCGTGGTGGAGGAGGACACCGAGGAGTGGCAAAAGGATCCCCATTTCTCCGGGCTGCACAGAGTGGGAGGCGTGGATTTATCCTACATCAAGGGGGACGAGAGCCGTGCCTGCGCCTCCCTGGTCGTGCTCAGCTTCCCGGCTCTCGAGGTACCCCCGTCCCGGGCCGCGCCCCAACCACGGGGCTGCAGGGCAGCGGGAGGTGGGATAGCGGGGAGGAATTCTTCCCTGGCAGGTGGGCAGGCACAGGGTGCCCAGAGCAGCTGTGGCTGCCCCTGGATCCCTGGAAGTGTCCGAGGCTGGGTTGGAATAACCTGGGACGGTGGAAGGTGTCCCTGCCCATGGCAGGGCGTGGAATGGGATGGGCTTTAAGGTCACTCCCGGCCAAATAGCTCCGTGATTCTCTATGTGTTCAGCAAACCTTCCAATTATGTGTTCCCAAGAAAGATAAACAGAAAAAAAATACGTGTAAAGGTTTAGACAGAAGTTTAGGAAGGTGTGATGCAGGAGTCTTGTGGGATGGCTGGGATCTCCCCCAGGCTCCGGAGGAGCTGCAGTGCCTGTTTGGGGAGCCCGTGGGAGGCGATCTCAGTGCTCCAGTGCAGAGTCCTGTGTGTGAGCTCTTGCTGGGAATCAGCTGATAATATGGGCTGTGACATAGGAAAGCTTTTCCAAACCCGCCATGGATCTCACGCAGTCGTTTTACTTGAACTAATAAAAGATTTTTGGTCTCTTTCCCAGCTTTCAAAATGATATAAAAATTATCTTTAACTGTAAAAGCTCTAACAAGCAGAGAAATAAAGTTTGATGCTGCCTGCTGGGATTTTAATGATCTGTATCTCAAGTCCTGCTGTGATCTGCAGGGCAAGGCAGGAATCTTTGTGTTGTGCTGCCTTACACCTTTTCCCTTGCCCTGTCCCTGGGTTTAGAAGGGATGAGCAGAGGGCGTGGAGTGGAGGAGGAGCCTCTGGAGCATCCAGGGGCTCTCTGGCCGCACCGTGGGTTCCTGTGTGTGCCTGGCCCAGGTGCTGTACCAGGATTGCCGCATGGTGACCATCACTGCCCCGTACGTGGCCGGGTTCTTGGCCTTCCGGGAGGTGCCTGTCCTGGTGGAAGCTGTGCAGAGACTTCAGCAGGAGGAGCCCCAGCTCCAGCCTCAGGTGGGGTGTGTTTTGCTTGTCCTGAGTTGGGGCAGGAGCTGTGTTGGGGCATCCGTTGCCTTTCCTTGGGGAGCAGGGATGTGAGGCTGGGAGCAGCCAGGCCTCCCGTGGGCAGGGCACTGCCAGTCCCACACTGCTGCTGCTTTAGGGGCAGGCACAGGCAGCAGGAGCCTTACAGGGAGAGTTGAGAAACCAAGAGAGATTTCTCTTTCCTTGCTTGCTCCTTGGAGTGTTCTCAGTGCCAAGGAAATAACATTTCTGCTTTGGCTTTTTCAGGTGCTTCTGGTGGATGGGAATGGCCTTCTCCATCCCAGAGGTAGGCTGTTCCTGGAGAGCCCTGCTCTCGTGCTCCTTGGCATTCCTATTCCTGGTGTCCTGCAGCTACAGTGGCCCCTTGTTGGCAGGATTTGGCACAGCCTGTCACCTCGGAGTCCTGACAGACCTGCCGTGCATTGGCGTGGCCAAGAACCTCCTGCACGTGGATGGCTTGGTCAGGGATGAGCTGCACAAGGAGCAGGTTAGGCCAGGCTGGGCTTTGTTCCTGCTTTTTCATATTCCCAGGGAATTTGGACAGCCACATGCAATTGTGGGCTCGTGAGCTGACCTTGTGTATGTTTACCCTTAGGTTCGTTCCCTGCAGAGGTCAGGAGAGACATTCCCACTGACTGGCACCTCGGGGAAGGTCCTGGGCATGGTAAGCTGTCACTTGGCACTCTGCACAGTGGGGCTGGCTCTGTGATCCTGGTCAGGAGGGCAGGTGTGAGCAGGTGACCAGTGACACTGCTGGCCCCTTCCTGAGAGCTCAGGTGGCTGCAGGGAGTTGGCAGCTCAAGTGCTGGGAGCATTCACGTCCGTGGCTGTGGCACCTGAGGTGCTCCAGCGGCCTGGATGGTGAGCTGCAGTCTGGGAGAGGTGCCAGTTCCCTGGCAGCTTCCCAGGATCAGTCTGGGAGCATCTGCTTCAGAGCAGAGCAGGAACAGGCAGCTGTGAGCCACTTCCTGTGTGTGCTGTCAGCCTGGACTGGCACAGCTCCCTGCATCCCAGAGCAGCCTCAGGCATTTGGGGAAGGGCCACGGGCGACAAACGGTGGGATGGAGAGGATGTCCAGGAGGGCTGGGAGCTGCAAACACGGAGCCACCCCCCCAGCCGCGGGGTCTGGCTGGCTCCCAGTTCCACTGCCCCTCTGGGTGTGTTCACACGAGCCTCTCCAGTGCCCGACCTCTCCTTTCTGACTGCCCAGGTGCTGCGGAGCTACAACAACAGCTCCAAGCCCCTGTACGTGTCCGTGGGCCACCGCGTGAGCCTGGCCACGGCCGTGCGCCTGGTCACGGCCTGCTGCCGCTTCCGCATCCCAGAGCCCATCCGGCAGGTAGGCACCACACCTGGGCAGGTACAGCACCACACCTGGGCAGGCACAGCACCACACCTGGGCAGGTACAGCACCACACCTGGGGCAGGTACAGCACCTCACCTGGGGGAGGTACAGCACCACACCTGGGGGAGGTACAGCACCACACCTGGGGGAGGTACAGCACCACACCTGGGGCAGGTACAGCACCACACCTGGGGCAGGTACAGCACCACACCTGGGGAAGGCACAGCACCTCACCTGGGGGAGGTACAGCACCACACCTGGGGCAGGTACAGCACCACACCTGGGGGAGGCACAGCACCACACCTGGCACAGGCACTGGGAGTGTTTGCCCAGCCCCGGGTTGTTCCAGGGCCTCGCTTTGCCCCTCCCGTGCTGGGCTGTGCCCCCAGCCCATGGTGCTGCTCACTGATCCTTGCAGCCCGTTGTGTCGCAGTGCCCGGCAGCGTTCCCAGCCCCAGCCTGACTGATTCCCTGCTCCCTCTCTGCGGGCAGCTCCTGCCATGCTGGTGTTCATCCCCAGGAGCTGGGAATGCAGTTTTCCCGGGCGCTTGGAGGCCAGCACAGCCCGCAGTGCTGCTCCTCTGGGCCTTTCCCGAGCCTCATGGAGCCACCAGCCAGCAGGTGACAGCACTGCATCACTGTCACCGAGCTGCAGCTGCCACCGAGGCTCAGCCTCGGCTGGTTTTAAATCGCAGCAGAACTTGGGGAAAGGCTCTGAAGAAGCTCAAAGCCTCTGGGACTTCTGGCCTGGCAAGTGCTTCCCTTCTCCCCGAGGTCATTCTGCTGTTGATGGCTCCACAGCCCAGAGCCAGGACTGACCCCAGGGCCTGCCTGGGTGTCCCTATCCCTAACACTGCCCTAGGACAGCCTTGGCATGGCTGCTGTGCCAGCCGGGTGGGGTCAGGGGTGTGCCCACCTGAGCAGCCCCCAGGGCAGTGTCCCAGAGCTGCAGTGTTCCCTGGAACTGAGACTCTACTTATAAACTGCCCCAAAATCTGAACTCCTTGGAGCAAAATAAGCCTTGGGGTGTCCGTAGCAGAGCTGCAGTTCCCAGTCTCAGCCCCAGTGCCTGGCAGACTGGAGGAGGCTGGTGGAGCTCCTTATGTAACCTGCTCCAGCCAGGGACAGATGCCTCTGCAGAGCTCCGAGCCAGCTCTGCAGCTCTGCGTGTTCAAAGGGAAAGGAGAAGCATTCCTTTTGGAAACAAAAAGGTGTCTTGGAGCTTGTCATCACCCTCAGTTCGCTTCCAGCCATTTCCAGGATTTGCTCATGTTCAGAGACTCTTGAAGTTCCCTATGACCTTTTTTCTTAGAGTGATGGAATGAATTATTGTCACTTTTCTTACAGAGGGATGAAAAGTCCAACAGGGGAGTGTGTTTATTCCAGAGGGATGGCAGGAGCTGAGGACACATAAACCTTCCCATGGGATTTGTCCCTGCAGCACTTCCTCTGTGTGGTGACTGCCACAGCTCTTGGCACAGGCAGAGCTGAAAGCCTCAGCTCTTGAGCACCTGCAGCTGCAGTTAGGAAGTAGGAAGCTGTGGACAATCCTGCCACGGGTGCCTGACGTGGCCTTTTTGCCATGGAACGTCTCCAGAAGTTGCAGACCTGGTAGAAGAAGTGCTTACAGATTTCCCAGTGTCAGGAGAGACCTGTGGCTCATCAGGTCCTGGTCTGGGAGTTCTGGCAGCCCTGGAAATGGAATGGTGTGTGAGGGCTCAGCTGCCCACAGCTCCCGAGGTTTGTGTGAGGGCACAGGTGCAGTGCAGCTGCTGTGGGAGCTCAGGCCTCTGCTTTAGGGGCTGTGGTGCTTCCCAGGAGTGCAGCATTATCCAGGCAGGGAGCAGGAAGGTTCCATTTGCATTCAGCCCACAGTGTGGCCGTGCTGCCAAGGAACTGGCTGTGGTGCAGATGAGAGAAGTGAGATCTCAGAGGAAGCAGAGGGATGAACTTCCCTTGTCACCTGCTATCAGTATTTACAGCCTTCCACGTGCCACTGGCAGGCCCAGCCAGGAGAGCTGTGCTCCTGCTCAGGGCTGGTCCTTTGGAGCTCCCAGACAAGGCTTGGGGTAGGCAGGAGCTGCCATCCCAGAATAATCAGCACAGCACTCACCCTGTGTGGCCCTGGAACGGTCCCAGGCCCTGCTGGGAGAGCTGCCCTGGCCTGCTGACAGAGGACAGACCCCTCCCTGGTGCTCTGCCTGCTCATTCCCGGGATCCCTGTGCCCAGCAGGGAAGCAGGAGCTGCTGGTGCCACTCTGCAGCTGCCAGGGATTGCACCAGGTCAGGCTCCTGCCTGGCTGCTCACCAAACTCCTGCTCACTTGCTGCTCCCTTCAGCTGCCCCTGGCCCTGAGCCAGGGCCTTTGGGCTGGCACAGCCTGGGGCTGCTCCAGGCCACCAGGAAAGGCAGTCACCCTCTGTGAAACACTGAACACTTGCCCTCAGAAGAATTGAGACAAGGCATCAGCATCTCCTCTGGGACTGCACATCAGTCACTGGTGTCCTGAGACTGCAGCTCCCTCCAAGCCTGCTGTGCACAGGGACCACCCTGGCCCCTCAGATAACAGGCAGGGCACCATTTCCACAGCCAGCACTCATCCCCTCTGAAAATAGCCCAAATCTGTGAGGATTATTGCAGGACAGTGATCCATCTTATTGATTAGCCCGTGCTTAATCACTGCCTTAAGCTGACTCCAGTGGTGTGTTGGGACTGAGCCCTGCCTGGGAACTGCCACCTCATCAAGCATTAGCTGATGTTCTCAGCAGAACATGGTTGGGATTTTTCTTCCCTAGAAAAATGGTTGGTAGCTGTGCCTCCTGCTCCTTGGTGTCCCCTTGGGGACTATTGAGCAGCCTCCTTCCCTGGTTATAAAATCCATCACGTAATCGCTTATCCTGAAGAGTGATCAAAGTTATTTGTCAGTTCGGTTATGAAACTGTCCAATTATAGAGAGAAGGCAAAAAAATCTCCCAAACAAACCACCCCTTATGTAACTCTCTCCTTCTCAGCTGGCAGGAGGCTCTGCAGTTGTGGAGCAGGTTCCAGCAGCAGGCACAGCCTCCCCCGGGGGCTCGGGCTGAGGGGCTGGGGCCTGCCAGGGCTGCAGGAGGCTCCTCGGGAGCAGCACAGGGTGGGGAGCAGCAAATGCTTCAAGGACAGTCCCTGGGGATGTGTTAACCCAATTTCTGAGCTCGTCACCAGACACTGTGAAGCTTTTCCAGCTGGGAAGGTCACATCCTGCTTTGTAGGTGGGGAGAGACACTCTGCCTTTGAGGTGGGCACAGCAGCTGCTCGGAAATGGCACAGCAGTGCGCTGGGAAAGAAGTTTCTGAAGGAGAAAGACTTTGAAGGACTGTAAAAATCAACTGCCCGTCCTCAAAGTTGTCCAGGAGCCCAGGATGTTCTTGTGATGGCATCAAGGGTCTGCTGCTGGTGTTGTGCAGCACTAGGGGGCTGAGCAAACACCTCAGGGTGGGGGCAGGAGCACCCAGGGAATGCCCAGCAACATTTTCTAACAGTTCTGGGCTGTGGTTGGTGCTCTCCTTGCCCCAGGCTGTCGTGCCTGGCTGAGCCACCTCATCCTGGTGGGATGTACTGACAGCAGGGTGGATGGGGCACACTGGGACAACAGGAGGCCCCAGCCAGGCTGCTCAGCCCGTGCCCACTCCTTTCCCTCCTTGGTTCCAGGCTGACATCAGGTCCAGGGAGTACCTTCGGAAGCAGCTCTGTGCCCCCCTGGAGGTGCTGGAGGCTGCCCCTGCCAGCCCAGAGAGGTGGGTGTGTGGGCAAAGGGGATCTGCTGTGCCATGAGCTGCAGTAATGGCATTAAAGGTACAGCCAGGGTGACAAGGTGAGCTCAGTGAGGAGGGCAGGACATGTGCTGCCTCCAGGTGATTTCTGCTCCGTGTGGCCACGCTGCTTCCCACAGCCCTGAGCTGTCCTGAGTGTCCTGAGCTGGGGAAGGGCAGCAGGGATTTGGTCTTTTTTCAGCACTGGCCATAAGCAAAGCCCTAACACCCACAGGTGTGACCTGAGGCTGAACAGAAATACCTGCAGGGAGCTGAGTTTGGGCCCCGGGTCCTGGGGAGGGTCAGAGTCCCCCACTCTTACATAAGGTGGGCCAGTGGTGTCAGTTCAGGGCTAATTCCATGGCAGGGCCCCTGAGGTGCAGGAGCTCAAGCTCACCAAGTGCCAGTTGTTTGTGCCTGTTGGCTTCTACTTGTTTTAAAACTTACTTCCTACTTTCTCTTTTTTTGTTTCCAGCAGTAAAAAGGAGGCTGAATTGGAGGATTAATCTGAACGTGCAGAGCTCCTCTCCTGCACCAGGGCTGGGTCCTGCTGGATGCAGGAGCCCAGTGCCACCCTGAGGGACAGCTGTGCCAGGCTGTGTCCCACAGGACAGCACCAGCCACTGCTCAGGGAGAATCCTGAGCCATGAATTTCTCAGGGTTTGTTTTTAAGTATTGTTAAAATGTTTTTGTAAGCAAAGGCTCACGTGTAAGTTTGCAACACCTCGCTGGAGCCCTTGGGCAGCTGATTTACAGAGATGCTGAGGCATTTCCACTGCAGAGCCAGCCTGTGTCTCCTATCACACCTCTGTGGCACAGAGCCTTCCTTTCCTGCTGTTTTTGGAGCAGCTTCCCCCATTCCTGCAGCCTGGGCTCTCCCATTCCCTCTCCACATCCCTGGGGTGCAGCAGCCCTGTTCCAGCTCTTCCTGAAGGAAGGATCATCTCCGGAGAAAGGATGGGAGAAGCCATTTCCCTCCCAGGAGGATGGGGAGGAAGGGAGGGAGGTCACTGTTGGCACACAGAGCACTCCAGGTGCCCGGATCCCAGGCTGCAGTTCTGGCCCAGCCCCAGCTCGGCCTGAAGAGCAGAGCCCAGAGCTTCTGTGCCCAAATCATCCCTGACCCTCATCCAACCTGCAGGACCAAAGCTGCTCCCAAGGTGTGGGGTCCTGGCTGAGGTTGGCAGGTGGTTCCTGGCTGTTCCCAAGGAGCAGCAGGAGCAGAACGTGCTCTGTTCCACACCAGGGTTTGTCTGTGGGTGGTCAGACTGGCAGTGGAAACCACAGTGGAGGCTTTTCCTTTGATGCTGGGGCTGTGGGGGGCCAGGAGCTGCTGCCAGGCCAGGGGCAGAGGGAGCACTGGGCTGGTGCCTGGTGTTGGCTGTGGCAGGGGACAGGGTGGGGACAGCCCAGCTGAGGGGACACAGGGACAGCTGTGTCCCCTCCCTGCATGGACACAGAGCCTCCTGTGCCACAGCCTGTCCTGTGCCAAGGGAGCAGGGTGGGGACAGAGCCACAGCCAGCAGGGATCAGTTCATTCCTCATTCCAACCCCACACAAACCAGTGACTACTGTGGCCATGGGGACAGTCTCCTAAAGTGACAGAGTGGGTGGGGGACAGCTCCTTCCTGCACCTCAGGGCAGAACAGGGAAATCCATGTGGGTGTTCTGATTGCTTTGGCCTGTGCTGGGAGGTCCCAGGGTCTTCCCTGGCTCGTCCCAAATTCTGGGTGGCACCACTCCCAATGCAGAGTGATCCCAGGTGTGCTGAGTGAAGCCCTAACCTGGCTTAGCTGTGCTGGGGGAGCCTCTGGGGGAGCAGCTCCTCCAGGCTGGCCCTGGCACAACAGGGGAACCTTCAGCACGTGGGACTGTGGCTTCTGCCCTCGGTGAGTGTCTGGGTTTATTTTCCATGTTTATAGCTGTGTTTTAATCCCTGATCTATTGGTGATGCTTTTTTGTGCTTCTAGTTGGTATTTGACGATGAGAGATTTGGGCTGGGCTGCTCAGGGCAGCCGAAGCTGTGGTTTGGGTGGAAGCTCAAGGAGGTGAGCCCAGCTCTGACAGGAGTGTGAGGCTGTGGCTGTTCAGGGTCTGTCACTGGGTGTTCCTGGGTTCTCAGGGATCTGGGTGTTTTGATCCATGGAGGGTCTGTGTGCTCAGCCTGTGAGAGATCCAGGGCTGGGGACACTGCTGTCCTTGGCTGGCCTGAGCCCCCCCCAGCTGCCTCTGCCCAGGGGTTGAGGGAAAATCAGGTTAAAAAAAAAAAAAAAATAACCGGCATAAAAATGGCTCTGCATCACTGCCCCAGCTTCCCTCTGGTTCTGAGCCCAGGTAAACTCAGATGACTCTGGATGAAGTCACCTGGGGAGCTCTGGGGGGAGGACGGTGCTGCAGTGCCCTGCTGGAGCCAGGGCTCTGTGCTCCTGGGTTTGGGGTTTGCCTGGGCTGAGGGATGCTGGCCCAGCTGCCCGAACTCGGGTGCTTAAAGGAAAGGACTAATCTCTGTGTTTGGTGTCTACTTGTGGCTCTTTGGACACAATAAGGGATTAACTTGGTCTTTATCTAATTGGTTTATAACCCTGGGCAGGGAAAATCTCTTTGTAATGCTTGAAACCTCTTAACAGAAACTCAGAGACTGGAGCTTGAGTGTCCTTTGAAATAAACTCATTCATGGCTTGTCTTTTTTAACTCTGTTGCTGGAAATCGACTTTTCTGGGTGTAAAGTTGTTGGGAATCAGAGGAAAATAGTTATTGCTGAGTGATTGTAAATCCTCCTGTTATCACCAGGGGGTTTCTCTTCACCATTTCCATCTGGGACAGGTTGGGAGTCTCTGGAGGTGTCTCGGGGCTCGGGCACCCCCAGCACTGCTGGGGAATGAGCTGCGGGGCTGGGGCAGGGATGTGATGGCTCCTGGGTGACAAACTGGGGCAGAACTGGGTTGGGGTTGGGTTTCCTGACTCCCAGGTGCCGAATGGTTCTGCTGCAGGTTCTCTGGATTGCCTCTCTCTGTTTTATTTGTTCATCTGGGGTCCCAGGAGAAGGGACAGGAGATGCCTTAAGATGCGAATCTGTTTGTTCTGGGAGTTCTGAGGAAGTCTGGGTGAGCAGCTCCACCCCAGGTGTCTGAGGCTGGGTGGGATGAGTTCCCACCTCCGTGTCTGGAGCTTGTGGCAGTGTAGGTGCTGCCTGTGCAGTTCCAGCTCCTGTGACTCAGGGTTTGTATTTTGGGACACTCCTGCCGAGGATGGGGGAAGTGTTTCATTGGGATTTCCCCCCTCCCGGCCCCCACTTCTCATTCCTCTCCCGTTTGGCTTGGTTGGGTGGGTTTAGGAGGGGCTGTTTCCCTCCTGGTTCCCCAGACCAGGGCCAGCTGCAGGTCTGAGCCCCCCGTTCCCGGTTTGGTGTCTGTGGGGGTGGCTGGGGCAGCTGTGTCCCACGGATCTCGGAGCATTCCCCAGCTCTGACTCTAAATGGGGTTTTTAGTGTCGGTCCCTCCCGTGGCAGCTGAGGCCTCTTGGATGTGGTGGCTCCTGGGCAGAGCCTGGCTGTGCAGAGGGTCCTGGGCAACGTCACGGCTCCCTTGCAGGGCTTTTTGGTTTTTTGTGGTTTTTTTGTCCTTTTGTCCTTTTTTTTAATTATTATTATTTTTCCCATCCTTTTGTCCTATAAATAGTTCTCCACCCCAACTGCTCTTCCCGTTGTTGGTGTTGGTTGATCCTCCCTGATCCTCTCATCACAGCACCACCTCCCCCACCCCGGCTTTATTTTAAGGCCCCATTAATTAAGAGCAAATGAGTGGAATTTCTCTTGACAAGCAAATTAATAGCAAATGAGGTGATTATGAGCTGTGTCATTTGGGTGATGGAGCAGCTTGTGCAGGGCTCAGCCCAAGGCAAGGCAGCAAATCCGTGGGGCAGGAGATCTCTCCTGTTGGGGGGCTGGGACATGGAAGGTGCTCTCTTCCCCTCTTGGGCTACTGGGTGGAATTTTGGTAGCCAAGGAGCCACCGTGAGAGCCTGGGCTGGAGGAGGCAGAGCAGAGGTGCCGGGGATGACCCCGCTCGGGGGGTGCAGCCCCCGGGCCCAGCCAGGGATGCCCTGGGGGGTCCCACATGAGCTGAGTCCTTCCACGGGGCCACGCTGGGAGCGCCTTGTCCCCATCCTGGCAGCCCGATCGGCTTTGAACCCACAAGCCAAGGCTTGTGATTAATTCCTAGGCTGCCTCGGGGGCTCGGTGCGGGGTGTTTCCTTAGGAACGCGCTTTTTCCTGCTTTTCTTGGACGGGCTGCTTGGCACGCTGTGCCTCTGCCTGCAAAGCCCAGCTGGTCACGGCTCCAGCACGGATCCGGGGATTTGTTTGTGCTCGGGAGAGCCCCGAGCGCTGCGCTCCCGGCGTGGGAGGCTCCGGCGGCGGCTCCCGGCTCGTGTTGTGACTGGAGCTTCTGGGGAAGGAACAGCTCCTGACTGCGCTGGGGAGGAGGAGGAGGAGGAGGAGGAGGAGGAGATCAGCCGGGCCAGGGATGGAGAGGAAGGACAGGGAAGGGAGGAGAGGCGGTGCCGGGAGCCGGCTCTGCCCCTGTGCCATCATATGAGGGACAAATGTGCAGCAGCACTGCCCGCTAATAAAACACGCAGCGATTGCTGGGACAGTGTTTAGAGTCTGTGATAAATCCGGTGGCTTTGTAACTTGCTGGAGGGATGGTGGGCAGCACCGTGATTAAAGCGCTCTGATTAACACACAAACCTTGTTTGTAATGAGTGGGATTGGGAGGGTGTGGAAATCCAGCTGGCGTGTAATGAGGTTACTCCAACAAATTACTCGGATATCAATTACCCCGCGAGGTAAATGTCACCTGCCTTCTCTTTGTTTGCGGTAAACTGAGCTCCAATTAGCTCGATGTGGTTCTTGCTCGTGCCTGAACCAGGGCAGGGCAGCAGCCGGGCTCTGTGGCACCATCGGGGCCAGGGACACCCCAGTCCTTTGGGGAAACATCCCGGCCTCTCCCGGCGCTCCCTCTGAGCCCAGTCCCCTCTACAGCCCCCCGGTCAGGCAGGTCTGTGTGGTCCCGCCTCCGACTGCAGGCGGATAAATTCCATTTTGCTGGAAATTGGCTCCGTTCCCCTGGCGCGCCGCCGCTGTTCCCAATCCTCCTGCCCGGGATGAGGGGAAGGAGCTGCTCCCAAAACTGCGGTGGGAAAGAGGAGCAGAGCTGCAGCAGGAGGGCGGCGGGGACGGTGCCCCTGCTCCAGCCCTTAGGGAGGGCTCTGGATGTCGGGAGGGCGAGGCTGGGGGCCCGAGCAGCCCCGGGATCACCGGGATCCACCGGGACTGCTCTCCCAGCCCTGGATGCTTCCACAGAGCTCATGAATATTGATGGACCAACATATGGGGGCCTAGGGAGGGAGCAGAAGGAGCCGAAAGCGTTGCCAATTGTGGAGCGCAGCCCATCCCAAATCCGTGCCGGTCCCCGGGCATGGGGAGGATTTGGGGGGGCTGCTGTGAGCAGGGGGTGGGCACCATCACTGTGGCCACCTGGAGTCCTGCTCCGCTTTCCAGAAGGAATAAATCAGCACCGCCGTGTCCATGTGGGGTTTTCCGGCCCGTCAGGTGTCGGGGGGCGGGTCCCAGGTGTGTGGGGG